AATTGTGTTCAAGATCAAATCCAAAGTTCCTATCATTTTTTGTCAAAATCTAAGTCATCTCAGTTTTATTTTCTTTAAAAAAAATATTGGTTTAGAATCATTTTTTGTCAAAATCTAAGTCATCTTCGTTTATAGCCAGATTTGACTGAATCAACAGAATCACTAAATTAATCTATTGAACCACTCAAGTTTGTCAAGTTAATGACAAAACTAATTAATTCAAATTAAAATTTAGTCTAGATAAAGTTTTGAATTACTGATTTATTAAGTTAATTATCTTATTGGATCAGATTTAATAACTATAATTACATGTTCAATTACAATAAAATTATTATATATATGTCTCTAACTATGACAATAAAAAATAACAAAGGTAAATTTGTTGATCGACGACTCTAAAGCATTAAATTAACTGAATAAAATCGATCATTGTCCTCCAGTCAATTATGAATGAACTCATAAACATTAGGAAGTTAGATTCTAATGCTTCATCAGAATTTCAATTCCAATAATTATTGTTTATTAAGAGGAGGTGTGGTATCATATATGTTTTTTAAAACCAAATTTGAAAACAGAAAAAAAAAAACTAGTTATAAAAAATTCTGAAATGGCAGTTAATTGGTTTAGCTTTTCTTTTTATTTAATAAAAAATAAAATATTTTTTTTGTTTCTAAAAATCTGAAAAAGGGGGTAAATGATACCAAACCACCCCTGGACAAATCTAATCATATAAGTTTGAATTTATGCACAGCATTAATAAAATTTAAATTTAACCTTTTTTATTTTTTATTTTTTTATATGATGATCGTTATGGATTGTCAATTATATATCTTTTGTCTCTGTAATCGAGCAACTTAAAAGAGTATTAATTGGCCTGCTAATTAATCTCCATCACTTCTGATTAAAAAACAATTTATAATTCGAGTCAAACATCATAACATCTATGGAAATAATGAGGATTTTATCAAACAAATAAAAACAGATGATATTGGATGATATTCTCACAAGAAAAGGATTTGTACTTACAGATTTCTAGTCATAAGAGTTTGATGTGCTCAGTTGTTAATTCGTTGATTCGAAAATTGACTTTTTTAAAAAAAGAATTAACTTTTTTTTTAATTTAGATCAACTTATTCAATTAGCAATCTAAATCTTAGATTTGAACTGAATTTTTTAAATAGAATAGTTAAATTGGTGGGGAAAAAAAGGAAAGAAAAAGAGAAAAAATAATACACACACTCCAAATTAAGCTTTGTTTGCTGATCAATCAATGCTTTTTCCTTTCAAAAAAAATAAAATAAAATACATATGGCATTTCGTTTCCTTTTATCATTTATAAATTATTCTTTTTTGAAAAAATTACTGGATCTATGTTCGCTACTAGGCCTCAAATTAGATTTTTTTTTTGTTGGAACATAAAATATTTTTATGTCATTGGTAGGATATTGTTGTGTAGAGAGAGAATGAAAATATTCAAAAGAAACATATAAAAATATTTTATTAAAAATATTTTTAAAATGGGAAAGATTTTAAAAATATCATTTTACAAAATATTTCTCATAAAAGAAAATAAAAGGACGCTTAGTATAAAAAAAATAAAAAAACTTTGGAAAAGCGATTGCAATAGCAGACACACTTGTTACTGTCCAAGCATATCACTTTATACGAACGTTCAAAAGAAATTAAAACAAAATCATTCATGTGATCTATGTCACCTTTTCTTTTGTTGTTTTTCTGTCACATGCACTGCTGTTATCTCTTACCATGTGTGTCTGCTGTGAAAAACTCTAGCGGATCTAATGACTACGAAAAAGAAAAGGCGTAGTCCTTGAAGAATTTTAATTTCCTATTGGAAAACAAAAGGGTCACGAATAGGTTTTTTAATTGTGATGCTTCGCAGATCACTTGAACCGGGCTTCAACGCATGCCTTCATGTTCCAAGATACAAAGACAGACCCTAACCTATTTGTGCTGGCGTTTAGAGGGACCGAACCATTTGATGCATATGGATGGGCCACAGATGTGGATCTCTCCTGGTATAAGTTTAAAGGCATAGGTCAGATCCACCGTGGCTTTATGAAAGCCCTGGGCTCGCAGAACAATGGATGGCCTAAGGAAATTATTGAACCAGATCATGACCACTTGTATGCGTACTATGAAACGAGACAAATGCTGAGGGACATAGTTTCCAAGAACGAGCAAGCAAAATTTATAGTTACAGGGCACAGTTTGGGAGGGGCATTGGCCATATTGTTTGTGGCTGTGCTAACCATGCATGGCGAGGCTGAGTTGCTGGAGAGATTGGAAGGTGTTTACACATTCAGGCAGCCTAGGGTTGGGGACGAGGAGTTTGGGGAATACATGATAGATGGGTTGAAGAAGCATAAAGTGAAATACCTGAGATACGTCTATTGCAATGACATGGTTCCTAGAGTGCCTTTTGACAACAATTGTTTCTTCTACAAGCACTTTTGGGAATGCAAGTACTATACTAGCTGGTATAAAGAGAAGGTAACTGTTCCATCCCTCTCTCTCTCTCTCTCTGATCAGTTATGCTGTTGATGAGCAACTAATGCATTCGTAAATAATCCGGATACAGGTTATGCAAGAAGAGCCGAACAAGAACTACTTCTCTTTGTTAATGGCCATACCCAAATTCTTGAATGCTGTTTGGGAGCTGATCAGAAGTTTTATAATCCCTTGCCTGAAGGGTCCAGATTACAGAGAAAGCTGGTTGATGACACTGATAAGGCTGGTAGGGCTGGTGATTCCAGGATTATCAGCACATTGTCCTCAAGATTATACTAATTCTACTCGGTTGGGATCCTAAGCCTAGTCCCTCCAGCTTCAAGACTCTCAATAAAAACTTCACCATCATAATATCTTTGAGCTTTTGCGTTCATTGCATATTTGATGATGGAATGATGTGCTCAAACAACTTATGGGATCTGAAAGTAGATCACTATAATATAATAAGTTGCTTTATAGTGTGTGAAAGACTACTTTGAACAATAAAAGTTTGATTTTCTCTGCTATAACCCTAGTTCTTGTATGATCAATGGGGAAAAAATTTTCAATATAGTATTCCATCAGCTGTAGTCTTCAAAGAGTGGTGTCAAGTTCTGGAAAATTGTGAAAGACTACTTTGAACAATAAAAGTTTATTCACCGTTTGCCCCTTTTTTCATCCTTTGGGTCCTTCGTTTCTCCTCCACTATCATAGTATATTTATTCGATTCGATCATTGCATGGTGCGTCTAATTGAGTTTTGGGCCTTATGGCTTGATTAAATTAGTTTTTTATCGTTGATATCGTTTGATTTTATAAATGATAGTTTAGATTTTTAGTTTTAAAAAGAATTAAAAATTAAAGGATTATAATTGAAATTGATAAAAAGAAAAGAAAAAAGAAAAATACAGCCTTTATATTTTATAAAGAAGAAACAATCACGAAAACCAAAAAAAAAATCCACCGAAACCATACCTAACCTCCACCTCCACCATGTGTTGCCTTGGAAGAAAGTTCACTATTTCAATAACAACAAAGAAAAACTACACGCGCCTCCTTAATACCACGGTTTCTTTCTCTCGCTTGCTTGCAGATATACAGCACGTACTAGTACTAGCCACTACTTTGCCCTCTTTTTTTTTTTTTCGATTCAGCTTCTATTCTATAATAAATCTTCTATTTAATCTTAAAACTCCCACCTGAGCATAATGAAAACCCAGAAAAAAAAATAGACAAATGACTAACCTTCATTATAGTCACGTACAAGAACCTCAATAGTAAATTGGAGTTGTTTGAATAGTAGTATGGAAACTCAATAAAATAAAAAATAAAAAATAAAAAATAAAACATACAAAAATTTATTTATGTGTTTCATTTAATTTTGATTACATTCAAAGTATAGAAAAATTTTATCAATTAATATAATTACAATCTCTTTACAAGAATAATTAAAATCTCTCTATTATTAAAAAAAACTCTATATTTACTTTTTTATAAATATCTCACAACCTTGTAGGATAAATAATTAAAATCTCTCCATTATTAAGAAAAACTCTATATTTACTTTTTTATAAATATCTCACAACTTTATAGGATAAATTTCTTTTATTGCTCTCTAACTTGTATACTTTAAGACTTCGATGCATTGTTTATTTATAAACAAGCTTCCGGTCTTTGTTTTGCAAAAAATATACTCTCTAACTTGGATACATTATTTATTTATAAACAAGCTATCATTCTTTGTTTTGCAAAAACATAAGAAACAAGTGACATCGAATTAGTGTATATAATTATTATTTAATGAGACTGAGTGTAAAAATTTTAAATAATTTTTTATATGTTTTAGATTACTTTAATACTCTAATATTAAAAATAATTTTTAAAAAATAAAAAATTATTTTAATATATTTTAATATAAAAATATTTTAAAAATAATATCCACATTTCTAAAGAAAGGTTTAAAAAATAGCTTCATCTACTCTTATTGAATTAAATGGTTGGCTTCACATGAGTTATTTAAATTTAAATATGTTATTATTTTAATATTTTAAAAATAATATATTTCTGATTTTTTATTTAAAGACACGCCATGTTATTAGCCTTCGTACAAATTATTTTTTAACTCCCCAAATTAATAGGATGATGTCATGCTGCTAGGCAAGGAATCAGTTGGAAGAGTTTCAAGGTTCCTCATCACATTCTAGCATGTTTGTTTGCTTCAGGTAAATACCTCAACGTAGGTGAAAAACAACCAAACCCTATCTCAATCCTTCAAAAATATTCATAATAAATAATTATAGACTTAATATAAAATCCCACTAACATTGAAATTCCTAAACTAAATAAAATATTTTCTCAAAAAGCTACTGCATCGAAGTGTATATTTAATGAATTTATAAAGAAAAGCTTCACGAAATGATATCTCCATTTCAAGGAAAAATGTCATCATATAATAATAATAATAATAATTGTTGATGCATCATATAATAATAATAATAATAATAATCGTTGATATATACACATACATACATGCATACAAGGTTTAGCAGTCAAACTTCCTGGAGATTTTGATACCAGGAATGTCACATCCAGGGTTTGTGTCCCGTCTGAAATCTTAACAGTAATAATTGTTCTTCACGCCCCAACTCAACTCCATTGACACCAAAATAGTGTCAATGGTGGTTTCCCTCCTATACGCTTCCATATTCTGCTGCAGTTTTTCCTGCAATTTGACCTGGGCTGTGATATAATGAACCCTCGATAAAGTTTCAGATAGTTGCCAGGATTGTACGGCTTTAACAGATTTATTATTCTATAAATACAAATTCACCTTTAGGAATGGCAAAACATTTTTGCTAGCCCTAATTTTTCTGTAAGGTTATTTTAAGGAAATAAGATACCTTGACATGCTCCAAAACCAAAACAAATCATTGCATTTCATGGAATGCAAATGCGTTCTATATGAGACACGAACTACTAAACTGATGTTTTTCAGCATTAGACCAAAAGTAACAAAGCTCTTCAGACTCTAGACAGGGCCAGCTCGTATGCTAGGGCTTGTCAGTAAAACCTTTCACAATAAACCAAATCTTGCAAGAGGAAAGGAGAAAGATAAGAAATCTGAGACAAAAATTGTTTCCAAGAAATTACCAGGTATTATATCTATCAAAGTGTACCAACATGTGGCTGGATGAGATATCAGAAAGCATGGCAAGTGAAACAACCACTCAGGGAACCCTTCTGACGGGTTCTGCGGAATGATATAACTTTGTGAGAGTTCGTGGAAACTTGATGTGCCTGTTTTGCTAGCACCGAGCTCCTCATTTCCTGGGCTCTCTTTTGAGCTGATCTCAGCTTATTCATAATTCTATCCATAGATGACGATCTCTTTTTCTCAAGCTTCATCTGAAATGAATCGAGTCAGTTAAGACCACAAAATGCACAAGCCTATAAATTTAGAAAACGTAGAAACAAATGTGAGTAGCTCAAGCTGGAACCTATCAATCTTGAATCTCAATGGTCAATCATAGATTTAATTTTGTATTTTTCACGGTACACCATTATCTTTAAGTACATTCAGACTTAATAAAACTGATTAGTTTTATGAATTAAGAGTTCAGAATCCAGATAAAAAGTTCAATACTCCGTTAATCAAATACTCATGCACTGCTAAACTGTTATCAAGCCTACAAGGGGATTTTGTTCATCACAAATCCAAAACTTAGAATCCATTATGCTTTATATCATGTGGGATGGCCCCTTTCCATCTATCAAACTGCAATGATGTACAATCCATGTAGTTAAGATTCTCCCTTTCAGACATCTTAGCACAACATCCTACAATGCTGATAGATGTCCTGCAATAAACCTAGGTTATTACTTTTTTTATATTCTATCTAACACCAGTATCTTATAATTAAGTATTAGCAAAGCTTTCAAGTGGGAAGAAAGGAAATATTAGAGAGAATATCTTCTTTGCTGCACCAAGGCTGATCATTAAGTGAGTTAATCCTTTAAGTTAGTCAAAATTGTACGACGAAACATCGTGGGGAAAAAGAACCTCAAGTTTCCTTATTTCTGCCTCAGCTTTTGCCTTCTGCAGGTTCTCCCATGCTGTGATTTTGGCTTCCTCTCTTTTGACCCTGCAGAAAAAAAGAAGGACAAGTTCTATTATCCATCAAGGAAATTATGGTTTCTCTTCAAAGGATCTGGTGTTTGAGTGTAATTTAATCCATAGTGATTATCCTAATAGAGTCTTAGTTTCAGTACTAATTGCATCACATTCAGAGCAAGTTCATGATCTGGCCTAATAAAACTAAAGGATTGCGTTAATTCAATAAATCCTTACTTTGAAATGCTCTTTCCAGCCTCTGAAACATCCCAACCTGATGAAAGAGTATCAGCAGCTTTCTTTCTCCAGTCATCAACAACTTGGGAACTTTTTCCATGGTTACGGGCTCTGTGTTTCTTAGACCACCTTGTGACAGTAACCCTCTCATCCACCTGTACATCCCTCGTCTCAGATCTAGAGGAAGGTACGCTCTGCAGCTCCACAATAGGTAGGACAGAAGGGGTGGAGGTGGAGAATGATGGCTTCCTGGTGGGAGATGAATGATTACTACCTACAGGGCTCATTTGGGTGGCCATGTCCCTTCTTGAAACAACACGGGAGATATCAGTTGCAGCATCCTTGACACCATCAAGCTTTTCATCTGCATGTTTAATTAACAGTGACATGGTATATTATATATGCAAACTAAGAAAGGATCAATAATTGAAAATTAAAAAAAAAAATCAAACGTACATCAATATGACAATTGTTCACATATTGATATTTTGTTCTTATATTGAGTTTTTCACGATGTTCCCTGCCGGAGAGTGTGGATAGCCTACCTTCTCATTTTCATTATAAAAAAAAAAAAAGAGTAAAAACAACAAGAACAAAACAATTTAATGGAAAAGGATACTTGACATTAAGATTGGATTCTTTACAGAGATTCTAAAAACGATTTTAGTGAGAGGCACATATCAGGCATTTTATGATTAACTAGAATAGTAAATATATTTGGTTTTGCGAACAGTTTCAAGCAATACCACCAAATACAAATCAAAATGAGACTCGGTAATTCTTCATAAAATATCAATCTCATCCAAACCCATCAATTTGAATCAAACAACCAATGGGCGGTGTCTAATTCTTTGTTTAACAAGTTATAACTTCAACAATATAAGTTCTATAGATACATCATAATTCAATCCTCCAAAACAGAAATTAAAAACTGAAAAAAAGAAAACTATAGTGAAATTCAAGCAATCAGGCTGAAGTTCACAAGATCGTACCTTGTGATGGCAACGAAGACTGAGCTACCATCTCAGAACAACCATGCACACTAACCGAACGAGCCATACAAGGCTCTGTCCGCATGGGAAATGACACACCATGGCTCCCATGTGACCTCATACCCAACCCATCAGCAGCAATAACACCAGCTGAAAATGGAGAACCAGCAACAAAATTCCCCGCATTCCCTCCATCAAACACCTGCATCCCAGGCGAATACAAGGAATAACACGCAACTCCCGGTGGTCCAAGGGGTCCACTCTTTGACTTAGGCCTCCTCTGTGCAGGCTGAATCGAACTCCTAACAACCCCATCTCCCGAAACAGGACTAAATATCCACCTCTCAGCATCCTCCCATTTGGACGGCAATGTCCTTCCATTATTATTATAAGGCAAAACAGCAGCTCCTGTAGCATTCATCACTTGCCGCCTATTACTATTATTTGGCAACGGCACTCTCTCTGAACTCCAACCCTTCTGCATTCCAACACTAGAATGATACTGATTAAGGTAATTTGGGGTCCCAGGACTCGGAAATGTACCAGATTTTCGAGATGAACAAGCTATACTCTTCTTCATGTTACCCAATCTCGGCGAAGAAGATGTGACCACATTGTTAAGATCTAGTGACGCAGGCCTCCGCCTGTCTGGTTTCTTTGTGATCGCTTCAGATCTCGATCTCCTCTCCTGACACTCTACATCAAAAAACTCGTCAAAATTAAGAATTTTTAGTATAAATTTGATCTGGGTTTGGATTGTGCAGTTAATTTGTTACCTTTGAGAGCGAGAGAAAAGGAGCTTCTTGCAGAATCCAGGAGATGAATATCGTCTTCTACAGAACTAATTCTGTTGTCTTCTTTTTTAACAGCTTTTATAATCGACAAGAAAACAGTGAGACTTAATTTCAAATTTTCTGTCTTTTTGCGTTTGCTTTTCAAAGCTTAGCTGTAGCTGTACGTACCTTTAACTTTTTCTGCTTTTCGGGAGAGACGGGTGTGAGTGTGCTGCTGCTGCTGCTTCTGCTTGCTGTTGTTTCGATCTGGACCACTCGAAGAGTTCTCTTGTTGATCATGACCAGCTGCCAAATGCTGCATTGCACCCTCAAAAAACTCACTCAAAAACCATGGGTTAGAAAACGCATGCATGCAGGGAAGTTAGAGAAATGGTTTTACCAGAGAGATTTCAGAGGCGAGAGAGTCATGATCATGAGCATCGGAAGCAAAAGAGCAGCGATCGACGCTAGCAGAAGCAGAAGAGAAGAGACTGAAGTTGGACTCTAGAGTGAAAATTACAGAGTCAGGACTTGCATCTCGAGCTCTAAAACCTGATCTCGACGAGCTCTGCTCTTGGTACACCAGCTCCGGCATTCTCCAATTTTTCCTTCGCTAACTGCTCCTTCACATTCTAAGAGAGAGAGAGAGATACTTGGCTGTTCAAGGGCATGTGTGCTGTGGAGTCTCTCCATGGCGGGTATTAAAGCAAGGATGAGTTTTTTATTTTTATGTCAAAGTCATTATGATTTTTTAATGCTTGTGACTTGACAAATTGCTCTAATAAATAAATAAAAATAAATACATAACCTGCACCAATTTCAATACAAACCAAAATGGATCGATTTTAATGGATTTTAAAAAATAAAAGAATATCATTATAATAAAAATAATTGAGTGTAGTAAAAAATCAAAATAAAAATGATAATTTCATCCAAATTTAATTAATATCCATCTAAGCCAGTCTAAATTAGTAGAAAAATCTTGATACTATTGGATCAAACTGAAACTTAAAGATATAAAATCAGTTTTTAAATCATGAATGAATAAAATTTATAATAAAAAGCAAATAAATAACTTTAAAAATAAAAAAATTAAATATATATCTAGTTAATTGTATATTAAATAATTATAAATTTATAGATTTAGGTTTAGAATTGAGTTAATAACAAGAGTATTCAATAAATATACAAAATCCAATTAGATCAGAGTATAGGTATAAATAAAATAAATATAGTTAAATCTGAATAACTATGTTGAATTTAATAATATCGTATTCAATGCCATACCTAATAGTAATTAAGTGCATGTTTTTTTACTATAATGTATATTGTTATTTTAAAATAATTTTAAAATATAAATCATTATAAATCATCAAAACACTAAACCATTCAATATAAAAATAGTTTTCGTGCTGGTTATCCAATTACATAAACGATCCTAAAAGCTTTTGCTTTCGCAACTCTCTAAAATTACAGTTATAGTAAAATCTTAGTTTATTTAATTATTAGGGACTTCCGGGCACACAAATTATCTATAAATAGAAATAGATAATTAAGTGACTTGTTATTTAATATTATAACATGACTATCAAGTAATATCAATATCTATAAATATATCTTTGTAATTTTATCTATTTAGATCCATCATCATATTTTTTAATAAAAAAAATTAAAGTGAGTTAGAAATTAGAATTCATATTTTTATTTCTATGCATAGAAATAGCATATAATAGTTCTTTATAAATGGATTTTTATAAGTTTCTAATATATTTAGATCCATCATCATATTTTTTAATGAAAAAAATTGAAGTAAGTTAGAAATTAGAATTCATAATTTTATTTCTATGCATAGAAATAGAATATAATAGTTCTTTATAAATGGATCTTTATAAGTTTCTAAAATATCTTTTAAACCATGATAAATGCTTTATTTTTCAAGAAAGATAGTTTTTTTTTACATTTATCTATAAATAAAATTTAAAAAAAAACATAAAAAAAGCACTTAAAAATTTTGAAATTTAACTTTAAAATATGTTCAAGCAGAGTCCAAAACGAAACAAAAACCCGTGCCTAAACAATCCAAACTTGTATTCAAGTCAGTCCTGGAGCCGAGTCGATGATCTGATATGATTATGTTTTTTAAAATTTTAAGGAGGTAAAAAGAACAGAGAGAGAGAGAGACGATAAATTTCAGGTGAATTTAGGATTTGTAGTTATGATTGGACATGATTTTGTTCTGGTTAATCAAGTAGAGGTGCGGTGTTAGTGCGGTTTTTGCTTCTTTTAATGTTGTCTGTATTATAATGGGGTCTGAGACATCATCATGCCCTTCTTCCTCAAAATTTTACAAAAACCATATTATTTGCCTTGACTGTGAATTTGACTGCCTGTTTGTGAAAAGACACCTGGGCAATTGGATTGCTTGCTCGTCACTGCCTGTCCTATTCAGTACGTGCGGGGCAGCAATGACTTTAGATCACCTCCCTGTTCTTCGAACTTATCTGCCAGCTGAGGACAAAACGCAGGGGACAGGATGATGTCTCCGTGACGTAAGATTTTTACCTCCATGACAGGGGAGCGTGGCAAGTGAAAAGGCACGTCTCCCTTTCACATGAGACCACAGGAAGACTTGAAAGTCGGATATTACCTGTGGTTCATTGCTGTTTAATTAAATTAGGCATGTTTGTCATTGCGGTGTAATGATATTTTTGAAAGTTTTAAACTTTTTTAGTTTTTAATTGTTTTGATAGGATAATATTATAAATATTTTTTTAAAAAAATTTTTAATTATATTTTTAAACACAAAATATTTTAAAAAATAATATTTACCACTCTTCCAAATATATCTTAATAGTGATTAAATGAAAAGCACCATAACTATTTAAAAATGATCAAAATCGTGTTAGTTTCTATTTTTTAAATTGTTTTTGGAAGTATTGAATTAATGATTTCTAAGTATTTTGTATAATTGTGAGTTTCTATTTTTTAAATTGTTTTTGGAAGTATTGAATTAATGATTTCTAAGTATTTTATATAATTGTGATGTGTTTATGTTAAAAATAGAAAAATATAAAAAAATATTTTAATATATTTTTTATTAAAAAATATTTTTTAAAAATATCATCCATCTAATTATCAAACACATTCATGCTAGGCATCATTTTTTTATTTTCATATTTGGTCTGATCATGGTTGTTAGATTCAATTTAGGAATAAACTCAAAAAAGAAGCTGTACTGCTTGTTATTGAGTTTATTAATGTAAATTATTTTAGTCATGACAATTTTTTTTTTAATTTTGTTAAACTCTAAATCACAAATTTCTTGGATCAATCTACTAAGTTGAATCGGGTGCATTTATAAATTAGATCAATAAATACAAAACATATGAATAAATCTGTACATTTTACTCTATTCATTAATTTTAATAAACTTACCATGAATTTATTATCTTATAAAACAACTTCTCAATCTTTTCTCCAAAAGACAGAAAGAGGAGGGCGGGAAAGCGTTTTGCCGAAGCCCTATCATGTTTTGCCGGAGTTGAAAAGAACAGTAGCCGTAATTTAAGCGTGGGAAAATTATTTATTTCTTACAATGTTCAATTGTTTATGTTCCAACAACACCGACGGTCTGTGATCCCTTCAAAAGTGCCGTCGAGCGTGATCAAGATTTGACTAGTTGGGTCTCCTTTTCTTGCCACCTCTTGGATTGACTGCAATAGTATATCTCCTCGTGAAGTAAACATGATTTTGTAGAGAAAGCCTTGCGCATGTGATCATCTGACCGAGCTCCCTTTTCTTGCCTCTTTTTAATTTTCATTCCTTTCTGTCTCCTTGCTGTTTTTCTCATATCACCACAAAATTCCTACAAGCTAACAATCATAATTATCAACGGATTGAATTGGTGATTTATCGGCTTACTTCAAGCTTAATTTGAATTTCTTTTATAAAAAACAGATAAATATTAACATAGTTGATTCATGATTAGATTGATATAATCAAATTTAAATAAGATTTGTTTTAAGACACTTGACTTTTTAAAATATTTTTTATTTTAAATAATTTTTTTTAAATTTTTTTTAACTTTTATAAAAAACAACATCAATTAAATTTTAAAAAATAACAATGTTATTTTGGGTTGATTTGGCCCACTCATAACTCGGCTTTTGAATTAGGTGAAATCACAAGTGGGGCTAATACCTAAGAAGAGGAATATGGTAACTAAATTTTCCAACTTGTTTGGCTGGTAAAGACTTAACTGAACGAGTTAAATTTTCTGGAAATGAATACGGATCCAGAAATTATGATGCAATTGGTATTTAAAAAATACAAAAAAAAATCCAGTCAAATCTACCCAAAATCCACAACATTTACGAGAAAATTGACTGATCATAGGAAATAATTAAATGCTTGAAAGAGAGCAGCAGGAGCGCGCCTCATGTCTAGCCGGTGGCAGCTTGACAGCCTGGACGCTTGCCGGTCAGACCAGCTATGCCAGTAAAAAAATGGCCACGTTTGTGGACGTACTGCCACAATGTCTAGAATATAGAAAGTTCTGAAATTCGAGTAACAATGATAGTTGCTAAATTACAAGCTGAAAACTGAAGAAACCTGCATCTATGATGACTTTGATAATAGAATAGGACACTTGAATGCTTCGGTAAGAGCAATCTTTGCAGCTCTGACTCATCGGTAAATCCACAGCTTTAACTATCTTCTCAGTGTATCTTTCTGCCTCGTGATTTAGTTTATGCGTACTTGTGTGGTTGTTATACCCGGTTCAAGGTTTGAACCGGTTAGATGTCCAAGTCGTTAACCTGAATCAACCTTAAAACGAAGACGTGTTTTCAAATTTTTGTTTAATAAAACATCTTCTTGATAAAAATTCATAAGAGCTGACTTGATTATGTGTTATCTAGTTAGGTCAGATGTTTAATCAGTTAAAAAAAAACCTTCAAGTGAATTTTTATTTTAAACTTAATTTTTATAAAATAAAATAAAATAAACGTGATTATTCAAATTCATTGACCATGCTTGGTCAACATAGTTTTGATATAATGTGAAAAAAATATCTAATTTAAAAACTTAAAACTTAAGATGTGATATAAAATCTAAAGATATTACAATGTTATATTATTTTTTTAATATTGCTCCACACTTGAAACAAGCTCGTGTCATTTTCAACTTCAATTTCTCAAAGCTGTCAACAAATTAGACAGCTGAACCCTAATGGACTTGAATGGGAGGCTGCATGTCCACATATCCAATCATTATCATGATAAAATTATTCTGTTTCAGAGGTTGTTTGTGTTTAATTTATCCAACAACATACCAGAGAACTGAGAAACTTCCTAATGACGTGCCCGGCGGATCGTAAGTCCATTTCTCTTAACAAAACTTCACGAACCAAATGCCTCTTTATGGTTTATCCCGTTCACAACAGCCTAAATTGAACCCCTTGATTTGAACATCTCACCTATCTATTAGAAGAAAAAAGATGGAGCTGGGTTGTCCATATCAGTATACGCATGTTGGTCAATCATAGATCCCTTGACTCTTCTCTCTCTCTCTCTCTCTTATTAATTCTGTTGATCTCTTTGCTATAAGTTTGATCCGGAGGGCCATAGAAGCTAAAGGAGCACCCACCTGAACATTAGCCACCCCTTCCTTTCAAAACCTCAAAATGACACTATTAATTGTGACGTACGATGATAGCTGTTTTTCTTGGGCATTCAACATCACAGGACAGAAGAATAGCCCAGACATTGGTTGACCGTCCCACACCAGCCCATACCCACCTCCCTTTGTACCAAAACATTGATTGATAATCACACAGCACGGATGTTAGGCCAAACACGTTGCATTTTACCATGGAAAGAAAAAGTGGGTGTACAAACACGGCTTCAAATTCAACTGCTTTTTAACTAAACTGCAATACCTTTCTTTCAACAAGAAATGCAGCCTTGTGCAGGAGATCTCTTTGCTGGCATTTGAAAGTTCCAAAGACTCGAGTCTTTCCCGTCTTGGAGACTTCAAGTAGAGAGGGGTTTTGTTAAGGAATACAAGCATGCAACTTTAATTAGCACCAAAAAGGGACAATCTCTGACGAATTATACTATGGTTATAATGGTATATCCCATGACACATTTTCCAGCTTGCAGCAGATGATTCCAGGAAAGTTAAAAAAATAATTACCTATTGGTGATTTAAGGTTAAGGATCCCAAAAAAAAGAGAATAAGTTCAAAGTTGATAAGTCCAAGAAACCATGTGCAATAAACAAGCTTGGAATACCAGATTTTTACCTTGCAACTGTTAGTAAAGGTCATTATCTACCAATTTGATAGTAATAACTCTGAAACACTTGAACAAAAAAAGCGGTCTTCAAAAGGGGGGATGCTGAATTATTTGTCCGAGACTGCGACTACACCTAGTAGCAACAATAAGATTACATTCCATAAATTTTCATCACTATAGCAAGACAACTGATGATTAGAATAGCTTACATAACTGTACAGGTAGTCCAAGCCAGCTAACATTCCCCTTTATAACCGCTCGACATCCACAAGATGTTGACATCAGTTCCTTCCACCTGCATGCACGTGCATTAAGCTAATTCATTGTCCTTCAATCACCGTGTTGCTGAAGTAAGCAGTTATTGCCTTCAACTTGCCATTCATAAAGTTCTTCTCAACCTGGGACCATGGAGAATAACCCTTAGCAACAAGGATATGGCATAGTTTTTCACTGCACAAACCAACATGTCTCTAAAGAAAGCAAACAAGACCAAAGAGAATTCCTTCGCTGAGTTCATCTACAAGACCAGGGTCGGTTAAATGGTCACGTCATGGATCTAAGCAAGCAAAGACAAGAAAACCTATCTAAACTACGCGAAGGACCCATGTAAAACAAACAATACGTGCAAACATAACATGAGATAATGGTCACGTCATGGATCTAAGCAAGCAAGGACAAGAAAACCTATCTAAACTACGTGAGGGACCCATGTAAAATGAACAATACGTGCAAACATAACATGAGAGAGAAGGCAAGAATTCAATAATAACGGGCACTTAAATGTGCTCCTCACTATTGAGAGAGTAAAAGGGGCACCACATTCTATTTGTACCAGCACATATAAGCTATTCATGGACAAAGCACAATGAATTCAACTGGAGAGCAGAAGGCACACAAAATGAACTAAATTGAACATTACCTCTAGTGACCATGGAGGATTGGAAGTTAAACACAACTCTGCCAACTGGTTGAGGTCAACATTTCTCGGGAGAAACATGATGATTCTATGACCAATTTGCTTTGCAGTGTTAAAGAGAGAATATCTGAATATGTATAGGAAGAATGAGATTTCATACCAGTATCGAAGATGAGCCAAAACTAAAAACCAAAAGGAACTATAAAGAATTCAAAATTACCCATCACGTGGCTTAAGCATGGTCTTGATGTTGTAAGTTTTTACTTTAGAATATGCAGGTCCTCCCCAAGGAGGTGACAAGAAGACACTGTCTGCCTGCAGTCAGGGAAGTAAAGATGACAAATTAAGACTGGAACTGAGCTAAAATGAGTTCATTGCTTTATTCATTATTAAAGATAAAACCAGACACCAATTATTTTTCTTTCCTGAACCTAAAATGGTGATTCACATCACTCCTTTTTCTAAGAACTGAACTTCTATATGCAAGATGTATGAAATGGATGGGCTGGATAAAAGTTAAAAAGTGGATACTTGAGGATCACAGCAACAGAGATCACAAAACCATAAAATATTCACAGCTACAACAGTTAAACCAGTTCAACAAAATGGAATGAAGACATGCAACGCACAAAAACCAACGCAGATGAAAGGAAACAAAACATATCATTGCTCCCTGACTATTGAAAAGAGAGAGAGAAGGAAAGGAGATAAATCACTTGGGATCTCCCACAGTGCAAATTACAACTCCAAAACTAGTCAACATGCAAGAAATCAGCTTCAATACCTTCAGTTTTGATGCCAAAGCAAAAAAGTCCCCTTCTATAAAGTCTATTTGATCACTAACTCCATAGATGGAAGCATTGTGAAATGCATAATCAATCTTCTTCGGATCAATATCAATTGCGATGACATGTTTGTACCTGAAACATTGAATGATATGAAAATCAGGTACATGTAAATTAACACATGACTTCCAAACATTCTAAAAAGAGCAATGGAGTCTAGAAAATAGAAAAATAAGATGCATGGTGAAATTTTAAAAACTAAATGCCAAGTGAGCCGTTTCTACATCACCAAAAAACTTCCAGGCTAAGGCTAAAGGAACTTTATCTGGAATGGAGTTAAGAAAGTCTAGCCACCTCTGTGCAAATTGAATGGCATTTCCACCAACACCAGTGAAACAGTCAATTATGGTGTCCCCCATACAACGCAATGCATGATGCTTGGCTATAGGCTCTGGTGTAACAGAAAACCATCCTTCCTCATCCATTCTTATACCATCATCAAATCTGGAAAATAAGGTGTACCTTTGACACCAATATTTGGCGATGTTCGAAGAAAACTCTTCAAACATCTGCTCACTTTGAAGGTCTGCACAAAACAAAGCAAAACCAAATTTTAACAGCATTTGATCAACATCAAGAAAACTGGAAAGTAATAAACAGCACAAAGTTTCTATCAGTAGCTATCCTAACTACTTCAGCAAAAATACAGCTCATGCACAAGCTATCCTAACTCTTTACTTCAATTTTCACGGTCCTAACCCTTCTTATCTGCTGAATAGAAAAAAGATGGATCAAACATTGTGAAAAAAATTAATTTCTGTGAATATAGAAATTTAATAGTCAATCTCAGTGACTACTATGGTAATAACTTCCAGTTATATAACAAACAAGAAAGCCAACCTTCAAACAAAGGATGCAAATATCAGAACAAAGATTATTTTATGTACGATCATCTCCAATCAGCATGCCTTACATCAGTCAAAAACTAGCTGAAGGTCTGTTCGCGTTCCCTAGATGGGAACTAAAGATGAACAGAAGAGATTGAACAAAAACTGACTTCTATCAAAAATAATTTTATAGAATAGTCCATTGCATGCCAAAATGGGAACAAAGTATATACCTTCACTATTCATTGATGATTTCTTATGGACTCGTGTTTTTTTCTCTTTCTTTTTTGGTTTTCTGATGGCAGGGTTAAGCTGGAGATCCAAATTATCAGTTGCGGGATCAGCAATTTCAAGATAGATATCACTCTCCTCGGTAACTTCGTCCGTGACTGTACTCATCAGGCTGCATGAAAAAAACAGATGTCAGCAGACTCACACTTGGGCAACACAAGCAGGTATAAATTAAGTTAACCATGACAATCAGATTTATTGGTTCTATCTTTACATTGTTCTTGATAAAATGCATACTGCTTCATGTTTATCAAACCTGGTTACTTGATCATTCTCCAACAAGGAACAAATCAACCAAAAAAAATTGAAAATTAGAATAAAGGCATAATACCTGTGCATACACTCCTGCACAGCTGATGGCAAGTGCAATGTAACTTCATCATCACAACTTCCATTGACAAGACATTCATCCGCATGCTCTAAACTTCCATTTGCAGGGACTATAGTTAAACCAGGCATGGAGTTGCCAGTTGCAACTCCAATCTCCTTCGAAACTTCATCGGATGATTTATTTAAACAGCTCTCATCATTTGGTGGTCCCTCAGATGTCTCGTGATAATTAAGTGAACTGCAGGAAAAGAAAGGCCTTCCATCCATTTCAGTCACTTCAGCAGTTGCTTCATTCAATTCATCAGTGATATCGCCAGATGCTAGATGTTCCATACCAGGGGGTGGATACCATGTACAAGTGTCTGTTTTGACATTGTGGAAGTAATACCTCATGTACAAAGAGTCCCAATACACCCTCCAATCTCCAAAATCACCATAGTAGTTATAACTGTCTACTTCGCCATGTCCAACCACTTCTGAAATCTGAGAAAACTCAACAGGTTCAGAAATCCCCAAATGATCTGTGCCACTATCATTGCAAAACTTATCACCTTCTTCATGATGGTTAGCAGCAGATGACTCTTCTAGACACTCACACTCCATTAACCTGTTGGCAATTTCCGTCTCACCATGGTTGCCACCTGCATCTGTTAGACAGCACACTCCTGGAGGTGCACCATCTGAATTTCTCAAACTTTGTCCTCCATTATCATCATCCTTAACATCATTGTGTGGTACAGACTCGTATTCATGGCCAGCATTAGACAGGCAGTGAGATGTCCCCCCAAGGTTTTTCTCCCTGACAGCACCAGAAATAATCTTAGTTGAACTTGCTGAATCACAAGTGGGGCATTCAGTTTCATCGATACCCACTGCAACATCATAAAAACAGGATTCACTTTGGCCCATCATTGACATGCAACATAAGGAATTGCTTGTGCTATCATTCAAAACAGAAGGAGATACAATCTCCAACCCACTCACTTGGGTAAATTCTAATGCTTCTTCCTTGGCTTCTTTATGACTACGGGAAGGCTTCAAGCGAGCACCTTTCCTTTTGCTTTTCTTCATTTTGTTGCTCGTCTGCCAGAGTGTAAGCAAAATCAGTGACATAGGTATAACAAATAACAACTGCATTGGACAATAAATCATTAAAAGGCCAGTGAGAGCACGATTTTACCTCCTTGTTAGACAAGAAGGAAATGGGAAGCCCTAATGCATCCATCTGTTTGATCAGTTGTTCATTCTCTAATATTTCACTTATTTCTAAAAAAAAAAAAGCCCCCATCAAGACAACAATTTCAACAACTAAAATGTTCAGCTCACTTATTTCTAAAAAAAAAAAAAATCCCCCATCAAGACAACAATTCCAACAACTAAACTGTTCAACTGCTGTATTAAAATTAAAGATTCTCCTTTCTTACACTTAAAAAAAGAGCAGTGACACACTTACCAATAGTTGAAGCTGGGATGCTGAAGCTAATATCGTCCAAGTCTCTAGATGATTTCTGTGTTTCAAGAGAAAATGGAACAAATAAAGTAACAAACTTAAAACCCTAATTGGATTGTGAGACTGGGGAGAGATTTAAATTAGCAAAACAACAGAACTTACAGTGGACTCAGGAAGCAAAGATATTTCTCGTGTCTCCGTCGAGCCATCGTCCCTGTTAGGTTGAACTTAAATGTATAAGAATAACGCACAGAGTATAGTTTTTTTTTGTTACAGAGAGCAGGGATGCAAACAGATAAAAAGAGAGATGAACCATATGTAGACTTCAGTGAGCTTGAAGAAAGAGCCAAGATCTCTAATCGCTGCACCACCACCACCTTCAATTTCCATTTCGCCGCAGTCCGATTTTGTCGCTGGTCACCGCAGTCAAAAAAGAATCATGCGAAGCTGACCGGAACGACAACTCTCCTGTTACCGCTTTTCTAATCACCACGGACAGCCGCTCCCGCTTCGCTTTTATGTGACGCTAGCATCATACGCCTAGACGACGACGTATCCGCTCATTAAAATAACGAGACAAAGTGGCGCCGTGTTATTTTAATTTCTTCCGCGGAAAAAAAAAAAGTAGGTTAATCTCATCAGCACAACTGTAAATCCTGGCCCGATTTGATAAATCAACCAGATGTGGGATTAAGTTTTATATTAAACTAACCTTTTTCACTAAAAAAACAAAGTTGTGGCATTAAAAAAAACCTTGAAACAATTTCTTTTTGGTTAAAAAAATTGAATTAACATGTTAATCATGGATTAACCAAACTAGTCTAAGATTAGATCCTTAAGCTCGGTCAGATTTAGAATCGAATCTTATAAATGCATGAGTTATTGAGAATCCGATAACTTTTGGTTTTAAAAATGCATTTTATTTTAAAAATATATATAATTAATTTTTTTACATATTTTTTTAATTTAAATGTGCTAATCAAAATTATTAAACTTGATTAAAAAATTATACCAATCAAAAAATTAACTCTCAATCAGCTTGTTAAAATTAAAAAAGATCCCTGAAGTTTGAAAATCTTATATAAAAAAAATAAAAAATAATTTATGTGCATGTAAATTATATATACAATAAATAATAAAATTTAATAGATTATTTATAAAAAAATTATCTCATATTCTTTTTATTTTTAGTTGAAGTTGAAGTTGAAGTATTAAGACTAATTTTTTAATTTTATATTAAAAAAATATGATTTTATTTTGTGAACATATAATATATATACTAATGAATTTTAAATTTTACATTAAAAAATTATTTTTTAAATATTTATATAATAAATTTTGATATAAACTAATAATTAATAAAAAAAAAGTTATACACTCACTGTATAAAATTAAACCGAGCAAGTAAAAAATCTTTGATTGCTTTCCTTCCCGTGTGTACCTTTTTACCCTTACAATGAAACCACAGTTTTAGCTGATTTGTAATATTTATTTTTTATTATTTTAATAAATTTAAAAAAAATAAAATATTAATAAGTTATTTTTCAACTTATTTTTCATAATATAACCAAATAGTGAAAACTATTTCCTAACTTATTTTTTATTATACTACTAAATATAAAAAAATAATATATTTTTTAAAACTTTATTTTTTAAAAAAAATTATTTTTTTTTTAGAAAAAACAAGTAAAACTAGATGTTTGTACATTAATTTTTAGCTTTAGCTTGGTAGGCAAAAAATCCAGTTAAGAAATTGATTTTTTTTATTTATTAAAAAAATAGTAAATTTTTATCAAGCTACAGCTGGTCACTTGAGTGTTGGGTTAAGCAGGAGGACATGTGTGACGAATGTTTTTCTTTTCAAGACTTGGCATGTATTTCAAGTGATTTAGATCCTTGAAACAATTTCTTTTTGGTTAAAAAATTGAATTAACATGTTGATTATGGATTAACCAAAGTAATGGAAGATTAGATCCTTAAGCTCGGTCGGACTTAAAATCGAATCTTATAGATGCATGAGTGACCGAGAGTTTGATAGTTTTTGGTTTTAGGGGCTTTTCAAAAATATATTTTATTTTAAAAATATATAAAATTATTTTTTTTACATGTTTTTTTTTAAATTTAAATGTACCTATCAAAGTTATTAAACTTGATTAAAAAATTATCCTAATTAAAAAAACTAGCTCTCAAGTCAACCTTTTAAAATTTAAAACATCCTTGAAGGTTTAAAATCTTATATAAAAAAATTAAAAAATAATTTATGTGCATATAAATTATACATGCAGTAAATAATAAAATTTAATAGATTATTTTTTAAAAAAATTATCTCATATTCTTTTTATTTTTAGTTGAAGTTGAAATATTTAAACTCATTTTTATTTTATATTAAAAAAATATGACTTTATTTTTATGAACATATAATATATATATATATATATATATACCAATGAATTTTAAATTTTATATTAAAAAAATAAATTTTTAATATTTATATAATAAATTTTAAAATAAACTAATAATCAATAATAAAAAAAAGTTGTACGCATACTCTATGAAATTGAACCGAGCAAGTAAAAAATCTTTGATTGCTTTCCTTTCTCCGTGCGTATATCTACCCTTGCAATGAAACCACTGTTTTATTTAATACGTAAGATTTACTTTTTATTGTTTTAATAAATTTTTAAAAAATAAAATATTAATAAGTTATTTTTTAATTTATTTTCTATCACATAACTAAATACTGAAAACTATTTTTCAACTTATTTTTCATTATGATATCAAATATTAAGAAATAATTTATTTTTTTGAAATTTATTTTATTGAGATTCAGTCTTTTAAAAAAAAATTACTTTTCAGTAAACAAACAACTCCCAAGTAAAATTAGGTGTTTATACATTAATTTTTAGTTTTAGTTTGTTGGACAAAAAATCCAATTAGAGAATTAATTTTTTATTTATTAAAAAAATAGTAAAATTATAACAGGTCATGTGAGTGTTGGGTTAAGGGCCTGTTTGTTTCTGTGTTTGAAAAATGTTTTTGAAAAAATTTGAATTTTTTTATATTTTTATTAATTTTAAATTAATATGTTTTTAGTGTTTTTAAATCATTTTGATATGCTGATGTCAAAAATAATTTTTAAAAAATAAAAAAAATTATTAATATATA